AAAAAAAAAACATTCTGAGCGAAGCTAAACTCACTTGGATCTGGAAGTCGTTGTCGTTGTCTTCGTCGAGAGAGTAATCCATTTCGGCAGCTCCAAACCCTAAAGTGTCGACAGCTCCAAACCTTAAAGTCCAGGGAAAACCCGGGAAAGGGCCTTTATGCTTTTCATTTTCCGAAAAAAGGAGGGTCGGGTCGGGCCGCGGGAGTTAAAAAATAAGGAATTTACATATTTTGCAGTAGTGGGGCCGGATTCCACGTGACATTTTTTAATTGGTTACCGCTTGCAGGCTTCCATACGTTGCACGTATGGAATAATTTTTCCTCTATATGGACTAGGTCACTTATGTAGGAGAGATAAATATAGGTGCTATGGGCTTCATTAAGTGGGCTCAGTTCAACCACTTCAGTAGGTGAGCTCAGTTTAGCCACTTCGACAGGTAGGCTCAGTTCATATGGCTCGTTGGCATCCATGTCAGTCTTCGTATGAAAAGCCTTATTTAGTTATTTAATCGTATTTGTGTATACAAAACTTATTGATTTATTTATTTATATCTCTAATCGCTGCATCAAGCGCTGTTCGACGGCAGTGTCAGATTTACATTAAATAGAATTTATCAAATCCGATAACTCCGACGAAGCGTGACAGGAGCGAGGGTCGCAAGTAACATAACATCGACCTAATTTTATTAAACCTGCCTCACAACCAGACTTAATAAATATAAATTTAGGTAAAATAGTAGAAATAATGGAGATACTGAGATTTAAGGGAGAGTTGAATTTATTTATTTATTTTTTTATGTATAAGTAAAATTTAAGATTAAATTTTATTAGAAAGTGCTGCCAAACAATCCTAAGGAGGGGTTTATCCTTGGGTTTTATACCCAAAACACAGACGTATTCTCCCTCTCCAAGGGGTTTATCCTTGTTGGCTTTTATACCCAAAACACAGACGTATTCTCCCTCTCCATCTCTCCTCTCTGGTTATCCCTCACAGTCCAGTCGACGGCCGAAAACCTTTAATGGCCGTGTCTTTTTTCCCTACCACCAACCATCTCTTCCCTATTCCATTCAGGGAGAGCCATTCCGTTCTCCACGGCCACCTAAAACTTGAGATTAAACTCAGCCCCGTCTCCTTAGCCATAGCCGCTCGGAGGCGGAGTTGGAAGTGCAATTTCTCAGCCCAGGAACGCACTGCGAAGCAGCAACAGCGAAGGAAATCAGAGCCTGTCGTCGACCCAGTTGGCTTTCTCTCCAAAGTCGGAATCTCGGACCGCGCTTTTGCTCAGTTTCTCCGTGAACGGTAGTTCTCAACACTCATCCTTTCGCTTGTTATGGTCAACGCCGTTCTGTTTCATTTGTGTTATTCACTCATTGTCCAGGTACAAGGCCTTAAAGGACCGTAGATTTGATCTTTGTTCACGCTTTACAGATATGATGGAGGCTTCTTCTGGGTGGGGTTCCTTTTCCAATTAATTTTGCTTTGCAGTAAGATGTTCCGAGTTTTTTTGAGCAGCTAACGTTGGGGAGTCTTCATTTTGCACAGGTATGAAATATTAGGAATGCATCGACACCGTCAACATCGTGTGGATTTCATGGATTGGGCTCCAGGTAACTGTTCCTTTCATTTCCTCTTCATTAAAGGAAAATTCTTATGGCTTTTCTAAATGAATGCGCTATAGTTATGGGGATTTTTTTCCTAGTTTAGTTAAGATCTGCATTTAAAAATAAAATTTTAATAACCGGAGGCAAATTTATTGTATCTTGATTGTTTCATAAGTTCCTTGGGTATATTTGTTTCTTTCAATGCAGTAAAGTTGATATGTTTCTAAGAGAAGTTGTGCATTGATTTTCGGAGTCACAGTGGTGGTAGCAATTTATCCATGCATGTGTTTTGGTATTTTTGTGAATGCCATATTTTATCACCATTTATTCCTATGAATTTTTTTCCTTTTATTTATATGGTTCGTTCTATTTATTTCCGATTTTGACTGTTTTTGCATTGTCATTTGGCGATCGTTAGGTTTAAATAGGAGCAAGTCTGTGTATAAACTCTTCCAGTAGACCTATGGATTGATATGAAGTTTCATGCAATGTTCAGACTCCTTTGTTCTTCTTTTTTTATCTTCCTTTTTCACATTTCCTTGTACTATAGAAAGCTGCAACCCAGTCTTCTCACACTTTTATTCTTTTCAACATTTTGAAATAACTGCATTTTGCCCTCCACATTTAATTTGAATTTTGAACTGAATTTCTCAATATGTCAAAGATTTTTGGCATAGCTAAAAACATTTTCTATTCTGGTTATGGAAAGAAACAAATAAATTAAATTCTTTGAGGTATGCGGCGTGGAGCACTTAATCCCCACTCTCGCCCTGCTTCCTATTACATTGGAATAATACTCTTTTTCTTGTCTTATAATTTCTCTGCTTTAATGTGGTAATTACTATTTCGTCTAGTCTTTTCTTTTGTAGTTGGCCAGTAAATAGTCTGTTGCATAATTATGCATGATTTGAAGGCTTAGAGCATGAATGTGACCAGTATTAGCTATTCATTTCAGAAATTATCCAATACAGGATCTCGGTATTGTGCCATTGTTGGAGATTTCAATGGGTGGTCACCAACTGAAAACAGTGCTAGGGAAGGATATTATGGCCATGATGATTTTGGCTACTGGTTCATCATTCTTGAAGACAAGCTTAGGGATGGTGAAGAACCAGACGAGTTTTTTTTTCAAGAATATAACTATGTGGATGACTATGATAGAGGTGATAGTTTAAATGTTGAAGAACTGCTTGAGAAAATAGATGATGAATACTGGGAACCTGAAGAAAAGTTTTATCGTAATTCTCGGCTGGAGTTTGTTGCCAAATTATATGAAGAAATATTTGGACCTAATGGCCCCCAAACAGATGAAGAACTTGGTGAGATAATGGATGCTGAGACAAGATACAAGCAATGGAAAGAGAAGCAAAAAATTGACTCTAATAACAGGTTACCTTGTTATGAAGTTCTAGATCATGGAAAAACTTATGATATTGAGAATGTGATTCTTGACCCGGTGTCAAAAGAGAAGTTTCGAGCTAAGAAGCCTCCTCTTGCGTACTGGAAAGAAATGTGTAAAGGTCGAAAAGCATGGCTGAAGAAGTATATGCCTACAATTTCTCATGGAAGTCGGTACAGGGTGTATTTTAACACTCCTAATGGACCTTTGGAGAGAGTTCCTGCTTGGGCAACATATTTACTTCCAGGTTTGTTTTCTATAAATGGCCGTCAGGGTTTGAATGAAATTTAATAATTCATCTTCAAATCATGAATATTATTCAACTCTTATTTTGCTGGCTAAGTTTAATAAATAATCAATGTTATTTCAACTATTTGGGATGATATATAAATTTTTGTATATTTTCCCTCAATATGCTTGACATGCCTTAATTTTTTCTACAATTTTTAAAAGGAAGGTTTACGTACATATCACTCAATTCCTAAGTATTTACATATATAAAACCTAAACTTCTATTTTTACATACACAACCATCTTACCTATGCATGAAAAGGTGCATTTCACTTTTTACAAGTTAAAATAGGGTTAACTTTGAGGTGATATGAAAGATTTGGGTGGTAGAAATGTAAAAAAAGTAAAATTTAGGTCTTAAGTATGTAAATACATACAAATTGGGTGGTATGCATGTGAATAACACATTTTTTAAATATTTGACCATTTTTTCTTTCCTATGTCTTCCAGAGTTTCATTTCAATTTGAACTCTTTTGTTAATTAAATTTGGCTGATTCTTTTATCACCTGTTATGATTATATTCTAATAGATCCGGATGGAGAGAAGTTTTGTGCTGTGCATTGGGAACCTCCTCCTGAGGCTGTTCATAAATGGAAGAATGCACGGCCAAAAGTACCAAAATCGCTCCGTGTGTATGAATGCCATGTTGGAATTAGTGGAGCAGAACCAAAAGTGTCATCTTTCAATGAGTTTGTTTCGAAGGTAATGGGGCCCTAATTCCTTGTTTGATTATCGTACCTATGTTTAAAATTTTTCTTTATTAGATATCTGTCTTTTATTACAGGTTTTACCACATATTAAAGAAGCAGGATATAATGCCATTCAGTTGATAGGGTTGGTTGAGCATAGAGATTACTCTTCTGTTGGTTACAGAGTAAGTGTTTTGCGTCTACAAATAAGAACCCTTGTCTTTATTTATTGCACAAGTTAACTTTTCTTTTTTCTTGATTTTCTTACTGCACTGAATAATAGGTTCTCCAACTTTATGTACTAGATCACACAGATATAATTTCATTGCGAACTTGAGCATTAATCAATTATAATTCTTGGATTTATACTGAGAAATTTGAGAGGAGAAGGCAACATCTGTTTCTCATGTTGTGCCATGATACCGAAGTAAACGCTTCGTTAAAATAAGATGTCTTTGAACTTATTCAACTGCTTTATAATAGCTAGGACACCATTTCCTCGTAATGTGGGGAAATAATATATGCATATATATATGTATATGTATATATATATGTATCATGATTGATGCAATAAATAAGTCATTCATCCAACATGACTATTTTAGAAATTAATATGCTTAATGTCTGCCTAATTTAATGCTTTCTTTAATTCAAATTTTTAGATTGTAGCTTGGGGTGTAAATGAGTTGAGTCAAGCTCGAGCCATGCCAAGTTTGAGCTCGACTCGTCTATCAAACTGTTTGCTCGAGCTCGAGCTCGACTTGTAGTGGTTGCAACAGGCTTAGGAGCCTGCTTTTCTGCTTGACTAAAAATTCAATTTTTACGGGAGCTCACCAGAAAGTTACTGGTCACTGGAGGAGGAGGAGGATGTAGTTGCAACTCACTGGAAAACGCATTGAAATGACTAGCGGTGGGGAA